CCTGTATATTATATCCCTGTAATCCTGTATATTATATCACTGTATTCCTGTATATTCTATCCCTATATACCTGTATATTATATCCCTGTATACCTGTATATTATATCCATGTATGCCTGTATATTATATCCCTGTAATCCTGTATATTATATCCCTGTATACCTGTATATTATATCCCTGTATACCTGTATAGTGTATATTATATCCCTGTAATCTTGTATATAATATCCCTGTATTCCTGTATATTCTATCTCTGTATACCTGTATATTATATCCCTGTATACCTGTGTATTATATCCCTGTGTGCCTGTATGTAATATCCCTGTATACCTGTATATTATATCCCTGTATACCTGTATATTATATTCCTGTATACCTGTATATTATATCCCTATATGCCTGGTCCCTGTATACCTGTATATTCTATCCCTGTATACCGGTATATTATATCCCTGTATACCTGTATATTATATCCATGCATACCTATATATTATATCCCTGTATGCCTGTATACTATATAAGTGTATTCCTGTATATTGTATCCCTTTAATCCTGTATAATATATCCCTGTATACCTGTATATTCTATCCCTGTATACCTGTATTTCTATCCCTGTATACCTGTATATTATATCCCTATATACCTGTATATTATATCCATGCATACCTATATATTATATCCCTGTGTGCCTGTATACTATATAAGTGTATTCCTGTATATTGTATCCCTTTAATCCTGTATAATATATCCCTGTATACCTGTATATTATATTGTAATCCTGTGTATTCTATCATTGTATTGAGTATTTATGTATTCTTTATCCCTGTATAATGTATATTTCCGTATATTATATCCCTGTATTTCTAGTTCCTACATATTATATCTCTGTATTCCTGTGTATTATATCATTGTATTGAGTATTTATGTATCCCTGTATAATGTATATCTCTGTATATTATATCCCTGTAACATCCGTCTATTGTATACCTGAATTTACTCTATAACACCTCCTCTTGTTGTAGTATGATACACACTAACTAACTACCGGGGGGGAACACTGTCTCAGTGAATAGTTTTATATATTTACTCAACTTTACACAGTATCATGGTTCTACTTTATTACTCTTCACTCCGCTCTATAACTATTCAAACATTTTAGAAAACATGGGATATCCATATTATGTAAATAATTAGTTGAAGGGACTGTTCGTGACAAATGAAAGAGGTAGAGAATAGAGGAATGTAAACGGGTCGGGGGGGGGGGGGGG